AAGTTAATTATGAAGGGAGAAGAATGTAGTCATAGCTGTTGAGTGCAATGTTGGAAGTGATTAAGTGACAGTATCGAATACACGGATTATTCTCCAAGTGTGAAGGTTGGTTTCAGATTTGACTTGTGGGTGGCAGAGAATAGGAGCTCAGTAACTATTTGTTGAATGATTATATATAAAAAAGAAAGTCTCAAAAATTCAACACAGCCTGAGGGTATGCATATTAGAAGCCTTTTGCAAATGGATGAACTGTATTACTGATAATAAATGATGATTTTGACACTCTGCTGAGAAGGGAAATATTTTAAAAAGCTAACAGCTTTAGATGCAGCCATCTCTCGAAACTCAGAGGATATATATCTTCTGTTTTAAAGAAACAAAAGTAAGATAAATATTCTCTCCAAGGTCAAATTCCAACTTCATCTCTTGTGGATGGGGGCTGGAGGAAGGGAGTGGTCAATCAGGCAGCATAAAAATGGCAAGGGAACCAAAACTTGTAGGATGGCTTTCATTGTGTTTGTTGTTGTTACATGCTATTGAATCAGAGATGACTTATAGTGACCCCTCCTTGGGTTTCCAAGGCAGTATCACTAGGGAAGTAGATTGCCCAACCTTCCTTCTTAGGAGTGGCTGGTTTGAACCTCCAACCTTCTGGTTAGCAGTCAAGTGCCTTAGGCACTACACTACCAGAGCTCCTTTGTGCTCATTGTTGTTGTTGTTGTTGTTATGTGCCGTCGAGTCGGCCCCGACTCATAGCGACCCCTTCTTGGGTTTCCGAGGCAGTATCACTACGGAAGTAGGATTGCCCAACCTTCCTTCCGAGGAGTGGCTGGTGGGTTTGAACCGCCAGCCTTCTGGTTAGCAGTCAAGTGCTTTAGCCACTATGCTACCAGAGCTCCTGTTAGGGAATGTAAACAAGCCAGGTTGAAAACCGCACCACCAATGTTTGCACTGGGGGCTGTGGGATCTGTGTGCTAGTTCAGGCTCTTCCCTCAGAGCTTATCTCTTCTACACCCACTCTATTTTAAACCTGTGCTTGGCAATATCAGATCATCCAGATGAGACACTCACACCACGATCCTTTCCATTTCTTTCTGAGTTGCCTGCACATTTAAAGCATAATCCTTTACTTATGCAATTGCTTTACCATCTTATGACTTCTATATATTTTTTCAGGTTTCTGACAACAAAGCTTACCTCACTTTCAACATTTAAGACTCTAACTGTACATACTACAATGATTAGTGGTTTCAGTATCTAGATTCCAAAGCTGTTCACTGAATTCTTTTTTTTTCTCACTTACTTTGTTATCTTTCAACCAGGTATGACATTAAAACTCACATTTAATACTTAGATGAAAGCAAAACTGAAATTATGGACAAAATGGCTGGTAAAAAACAGAAAAACAATTTCTCTAAAATCATGAGAACTAAAGTTAATCTAAGACTTCAATTTATTCACACAATTACGATTTTCTGAAGTCAATGGACGGTAGCATGAAAAGACAGGGCACATCTCAGTGAAAAAAGTAATTCTTCAGACAGAAAATGTAATTGAAAGCTTAGTTCATTCATTACAAGAAAGTTTATCCCTGCTTCTAGACATCCAGAGATACTTTGTAAGCTAGACAGCTGTTTTATGAGGTTTCCTATATCATGTTAAAGGGAACTAGTCACTCACTTGAAAACCAAACATTATTATTCCTGAGTATATATCAGTGAGGATAGGTGCCATATTTTTAAAAAAGTGTAATTGTAGAATTATTACTTCTCATTAAAAACTTCTAGTGGCATTTAATAAGCACAATGGTGGTGAAAAAAAGTATGAAAAAGTAGATAGAGAAATAGATAGGTGAAAACACAGGAAGGAGAAAGAGAACAAAAACTAAGATAGGCCAAGAAAAAAGAGTGCCATTTATTTACATACCAGACTCTACGCTAAGTGTTATCCATTCTGTCCTGCTTATAAGGTAAGGACTGGATAATATTAAGATTGTTTCACAGATTCAAAATGGAATATTAGGGAGGTTAAGTGAATTGTTCATGGTCTCAGAGCTAGTGTGGGTCAGAACTCAGGATTCGATCTTAAAGACAGCACTTTTTTCTAGAAAACTGTCTAGTTGTCAATAAGCAAGAGAAAGGTCTAAGGGAGAAAAATGAGGAAACACTAGACTCCACGAAGGCAGGGAAAGTGTCCACCTACCCTTTTCACTTAAAACAAACAAACAAACAAACAAAAATACTTAGCACAGTTCTAGCAATATAGCAATATTTAATAAATATTTACAAAATGAATATTTTGAATGAGTTGGATGACAAAATCTTAGAGTGAGAAGAGAAGGAAGAAGAAAGAAATACAACAAAGAAAAAGAAAGGCCAAGTACTGCTCATAGTCAGAAATTCTGAAAGAGGAAAACTGCTCGATAGCCTCCTTGTTGTTGCTTGTCATCCAGTTGACTTCTCCTCCTGGCGACCACACATGTGCAGAGTAGAACTGCTCCACAGGGTTTCAAAGCTATGACCTTTCAGAACCAGGTTACCAGGTGTCTTCTGAGGTACCTCTGCATTAATTCAAACTGCCAACCTTTGGGCCAGTAGAGGCACACTTAACTGTTTGTGCCCCTCACAGACTCCTACCTTCCTTTAACTCAGGTAAAAATATTTCTCAACGTTTAAGAAACTCAGTGGGGACAATCTTGGAAGACTGTGTCACCAGTGGAAGCACAACCAGCTGGAGCTAAGGACTATGAGTCACGTATCTTGGACCTGTGGTTCATATTTTGGGATTCAACCATTAAACCATCCACAAACTAGTCAAATAGTAAAAACTGATCAATTAGTAAATATTTGCTAGGGCCCCACATTGTCCCCCCAGTTACAAAGAATATAAACGAAGCCAAGTATTTCAATAAAATATAAATGAAACATCTCACTATTTTGTTAAGTGACTGAAACCATGACTGAATGATGAAATGTTTCTATTTTTATGCAGATGTTGGACTTAATGTGGATATTAATTCACTCATGGAGAAGAACTACTTAGAAAAATCATGATGTTTAAAGCCTCCATATTATTCTAAGGTTGTTCTTGAAAACCCACAGTAGGGCTATGTCTATCTAAAGATCCAAGAATGTCAATTTCATTAACCTATTCTGCTTTAGTTATGTATAGAAGAAATAATGCTTAACTCTAATAATTTTGACTCTTTTTATACAGCCAAATAATAATTTAGAGCACCAGCAAGATCCACTTTCAGCATAGCAATTTATAAACCTTCCCTAAAACCTCACTTTGTATATATGAGAGAGCATATGGTTAGTAGTTTCAAACTGGTCATAGAAAACCTCAGACAGAGAGGATTCCCAGGGGGTAGGCTTGAGTGAGACAGTTTCTCTGGACACTTAGGATACACTTTCTATAACTCTATTCAGGTATTCACTAACAACAAGGTGATTTTCTCTCTCTGGTGGCCCCAAAGTGACCACATCTTATGAAATCCTAGGAGTACAATAACCAGTTGCTGTAGAGTCAAGTTCAACTCCTGGTGCCCGCATGTTTGTCAGAGTGAACCTGTGTGCCCTAGGGTTTTCAGTGGCCAATATTCTGGAATTAGATAGCCAGGCCTTTCTTCCAGGGGGCTGCTAGATGGACTCAAATTGGCAGCCTTTTGGTTAGCAGCCAAGTGTGTTAACCATTTGCTCTACCCAGGGGCTTCCCTGGGCATTTGTTGTTGTTGTTATGTGCCATTGAGTCAGATCCGACTCATAACGAGCCCTCCTTGGGTTTCCGAGGCAGTATCACTGCAGAAGTAGATTGCCCAACCTTCTTTCCAAGGAGTAGCTGGTGGGTTTGAACCTCCAGCCTTCTGCTTAGCAGTCAAGTGCCTTAGGCACTATGTTACCAGAGCTCCTTAAGGATCCTAAATGACTGAAAACCAAAACCACTGCCACTGAGTTGATTTTGTTTCATACGACCCTATATGACAGAGTAGAACTGCCCCATAGGGTTTCCAAGGCTGTAAATCTTTACAGAAGCACACTGCTTCATCTTTCTCCCATGGAGCAGCAGATAGGTTTGAACCAACAACATTTTGGTTAGTAGCGGAATGCCTTAACCACTGTAACACCAGGACTCCTAAATGACTGAACGCTGTTGATAATCCCTTGGGAAATTATGACCCCATGTCAGGAGCCAAAAATGGTTAGAAAATGAGTTGTTTGAGCAACTCAGAGAAGCTCCGAGTTGTTTGTTCTCCTGGTACTGGCCTGCTGAGACACTCGCACAGAAGAGCGCCAGGCAGGCATGATATAATCAAATAGAATAGATTATTATGTGGCTTAAATGCACTAAGGATATTGAACTTCGCTTTTTAAGTCACAGAAAAATACTGCGCTAAACTATGAAAACATAAAAAACATGAAGAGTACTATACAAATGTGAGTCATTTAAAAAATGGATTTAATATCAGCCTTTTTGAATTACATTTGCTGTTTCACCCATCATGCTGTGAGGTTTTCAGGAGAAACGGTGAACTGCCTGCAGTACACAGACATAATCAAGGAAAAAGTGCCATTTTATTTCTATTTAATAGTTACATAACCAATGTGGAAAACACAAAATGACTGTGAGAAACAGGAAGAAAAAGATGATGTTTCACTGTCCTTTTAAAGTAGCAGTTTTGTTTTTGTTTGTTTTTTTGGTGACATTTTGCAAGCTTTTAGAAATAGATTCGGGGTGTGTGTGTGTGTGTGTGTGTGCACATACATGTTTGTCTAGGGGCGTTGCTGTAAACCCTGTGCACAAATATCTCTTTTCTTTCAAATACCCAGAAGACCTGTACTATTTAATGAGGTTATGCAGTCCCTGAGCCTACTTTGCCAGCTGTCAGCAGTTGGGGGCCCACCTCACCCTTTCTAAAGAGCATCTCTCAATAGGTTGTCAAGTGAGGATCAACTAGTGAGTACAGCTTGTCATATTAGAAATGCCAGTGTTTTTCTTACCTCTTCCTTCTCAGCACTTTGCAGATCACGCCATTCCTCAGTTACATGACCAAAATCCACAGTGTTCATGGGAACTTTAAATTCCCCGATGATATCATGCTTGGAGAAACGGTCAAAATCATACACAGCCATCACCAGAGTTTTGCCACCCAGTTCTGAGTATGGCACCTAAATAAAGAGACGAGGGTAAAATATCTGGTCAGAAAAATGCTAAAAAGATGTTGCTTGTTTATAATGTTTTAATTTTAATGTTTATATTGGATAAGCAGAATAGGGAGATAATTATGTTTTTGGTTCTTCCTTAAATTGAGTCATTTGATTTACTGCATGAGGCTTAAATTACTTGGGAGAAACCTAACCATAGTGATTTATCATTTTACCCCAAAGTTCTAGAAGCTTTTAGTACTGTTAATAATGGAGCCTTCTATTAATCATGTTATAAACAGTTCAAGATTAATAAAATAATAAGCTGATTACATTTAACAATTTATAAGTATGTTTTTCTTGTAGAATAATTTAGGTTATGTTGTTAGTGTGTAACTTACTCAGGGACAGATAACTTACTCCAAATGTTTCATTGACTCTTTCGGCTGTTGGGATGCTACAGTTTAATGGAAGAGTGATTTATTAAAAGGCATATATATGAGTAGTCTGGAAGAATGTAAATGAAATTCATAAAGTGGTTTACTCCCTCCCTAAAATAATTTACTGGTTGACAAGAACTGACTGGAAAATTGATGTTTTGAATATCAGAGGTGCATTATAATATGGATCTTGAAGTTTATTCTTGGGTGTGACAGTTTAGGATGAGTAGTGGCAAAAGGCCAAAAACTGATGAATTCTTGAGCTGTTCAAATATATCTGGGACAAGTGCTATAGGTTGTTATGTTTATTAGTGACATTTTTAATATTCAGGAAAAACAGTGCAATCCAAGTAAGCTACACTTCAGTAACTGGGTAGAAATGCTTAATTAAGAAATTGTTTAGATTTGTATCAAAAGCTTGATCAATTTTAATACACTTCCTATTATTTTATCAGTGTCAATGGCTATCTTATGCTCTAGCATTTTGTTGTTGTTATGTGCCGTTGAGTTGTCTCCAACTCATACAGACCCCTCCTTGGGTTTCCAAGGAGGTATCTCTATGGAAGTAGATTACCCAGTCTCCTTCCAATGAGTGGCTGGTAGGTTTGAACCACCAACCTTCTGGTTAGCAGTCAAGTGTCTTAGGCACTGCACCACCAGAGCTCCCATGCTCTAGCAAACATTTCTTAATTAACTCTGTATGTTAAAAAAAGGAAGGAGAAAAGAGAATATTTGACCGTATAAGAAATTTGAGTTTTCTAAGTTCTCTTATCTTCTGTCACATATTTATCATCATTTTGGAATAAAATTATTTTATAAAAATACTATTGCAAAAACAATTTTTTTTTTTTAAATACAGTGAAAGCTGGAACCTGTCAGAGAAGGAAAACTCAAATATTTTCCACAAAATTAAGAGAGAGAAAAGTGGTAAGACTGCGCCCTGATAAAAGTGAGAAACTTTCAAGACTCAGAAAAATAAGGCAGTCCTGCTGTGTCTGCTCTTACAGGTTTCACTGCAGTAATAGTTAAAATAAAAAATACATATACTGGTATAATAAGACAATATACTGACAACTCAAAACTAAATCCCCACAACATTATTTCAAATAATTTAAGAATGTGCTTATTAAATTCTGGTTAGAAACTGGTGGTCAAAATTAAGATTAATGTATAATCAAATAGAATTATTATGATTAGCATTTGCAATATTTTCCCTTTTATTTATATATTTTTTTTTGTTTTATGGCATATTGATCACAGTGGTTAGGTCCTCATAAACTGAGTATCTCCATAATGTTATTTCTGCTGCTCTAAATTAATTCTCTGGGTAAAGTGTAGGTTTTAAATAGGATTATTAAAAAAATGAGGAACTTTTTTTCTGGAAAACCCCAAAATTTGAGAGTGAGTGGAAAGAGAATTCTCTGTTACAAAACTGGAAATGAGGTTTGGGAAAATGATTCATGTCCCAAGCATCATCACCTTATTTCATTCCAGAATGTTTGCCAACACGAGGTACAGGCTATCTGTCACTAGGCTGGCTGAAGGACAGAGTGATTTTGAATTAGCCTGCTAGTATATTCACCAGATATTTCATTTTTCAGAAAGGTATTATTTTAAGTAATGCCTTAATTTTTTTTTTCCCACGTGTTAGTGATATCTACCAAAAGAATTGTTTTCGTGAATGACTTCAAGGCAAGAGTGACGGAACTTGTGTATGCAGCAGTGACTGAGGCCTGTGGGCACACTTTCCTGTTGCGTTATTATACGGCCAAAACCCCTCTTCATTATTGTTTGTCAGCTCAAGTGTTTCAATAAGATGAAGAACCCTGGAGAAATCTCAGAGTAAAGAAGAAATGCTAAAACTGCAGAAAAACAATGTTTCCCCCCCTTTTTTTAAAAAAAATTATAAGTGAAGGAGAAAAACAAATTTTGAGTGTTCAATTTGTCCTTGCACACACAGAATTTTGCAAAGAGAGTAATATCTATTTCTGCTTTTTAAACATTGACACAGCTTACTTTATTTGTTCTGTGATTGTGATAGGGCTTACTTATTTTCAGGAACTTTGAAACTTAGGTAACTAATGATTTTATTATTTATTTGATTTTATTGTAGATGGGAGAAATTATTCAAGCCAATTGACACCCTTGAAACAGACTCACTTTTTAGGTGTGAATATGACAGACTTGACAGCACATAACAACCACAACAACATTTTTATTTCAGTTCACAGTCCAAGCTGAATGAACAAGCTGAATCCTACTTTGATGAACTTTATGTGCGATAAAGAATCCTCATTTGGTTGAAGATAATTATTGTAAATATTCTGAACAAGATTATTTGTGAACACCTGAGTAAGTGTTTATGTGTAAATCCATGTATGAGTGAGGATGAGATCAATCTTTTTAATTTAACATTATCAGAGGAATAGTTGTAAGTATAAAAAAATACCTTGAAAGTAAACTGCTCATTGAAGACAGGATTAAGGGTCTTTCGGTGAACTTTTGTCTCAAATTTCTTCTTTTTATCAGGCAGCAGGAACACTTTCACATAAGGGTCAGACGTACCCCCCATGTCCAAGGCGGGCAGCTCAGCAGCCTGAATGATCCCTACCAGCAGCTGAAACAAGCAACAGGAAACACCAAGTACAGACATTGGTGGACGTTTTGGAAAAGATTATTTTATTTTTTGCAATGTTGCATATTGTGATTTCTCCTTCTTCCTGCTTTTGATAAATTTTTATTCTATTTTGAGTCTGAACACAGAAGGCAAATTAAGCAAGCTATATAGACTTCAGAAACCCAATTATGATGGATGCAGGCTCTAGGAAGCCCGGTTTTAAGTACAAAAGAAGCTTTTAAAAGGTTGCTGATTACAGTTAGATTTGGGATTCATATTTGCAAAAGGGTTGCAATCAAATAACTTTCTAGTTACTAAAAGCCTTTGTGCATTATTTTCCTTTCCAGGGCACGAATTGCAAGTAGAAATAAATTGTTAAACAATCACACGTCTGTAATTATAACGTAGGAAAATTTTATTCTGCACCAAAGTCTCAAACCAGCTAAATAAAAATTTCTTAGAAATTGGGTAGCATTTTGATGTAGAAAATATCTTCAAGTTTCTTTCTTATTTGACTTTGACTTGTATGCTGGCTAAAATTTTTACTTCCAGTATAATTATTATCATCTATTAAATGGGTTTAAATGTAGGACATGGAATCAAATGACTTAATTCCAGTTAAATGAAAGTGAGATTATAGATATAGTTGTGTGAAACGACTAAGTTCTGAATTTTTTTTCAAGCACACAGGAAATCATTGCATTTCTATGAGTCTGTTATCTTACTGATGAATTCCCAAGACTTCTGATGAATGAGAGTCTAGGCTTGTGGTGGTAACAAAAAAAAAGGTGTGTGGATTATTCTAGATGTCCTGCCATCGGAGATTTGGTGTTAATAGGGTTGTTACAATCCATATGGGAAACGAAAGTAGACTTTCATTGTTATCCAAGGCATGTACTGTTCAACAAATGCAGTCACACTATAGTTTTTCACACCAGAGACTGAAAATTTGAGCCTGTGTCTTTTTAAGCCATAGAGTGGAAAAGCAGTTCACCTCCTTAAAGAAATCACACTCATTTTCTGTAAAACTGACCCACCCTGGTCTTAAGTAAATTTTGGCTAGATGGTTTAAGTTTTCACTTGGACCAATAAATAGCTTGAATGATTATGTTGTTTCCGTTTTAATGCTCCAGTTTTGTTTTGTGGCATCATCATACAACTGTATCAATAAGGGAGCTGTGTTATAGATAGACAAAAGACAGAAAGACGATCAAAGAATAAATGGAGTAGGCATCAGATATATAAATGCAGGATTAGTAAAGAAAACAGTCTGTCTCTTGGTTTGCCAAATTGATAGGTTATTTTCTTTTGGATAACAATGTAAGCAAACAAGATTCTATTTGCAAGTAATACTCATTCTCACTTTTGTAACATTTTTTTTTTCTTTTTTTGGGGAGAAAGCAGTGTATCTAGTTTAAAATCTTTACAACTAGGTCAATAATGTTTTAAAGATTTTTGGATTCTTTGTTGTTTGAAGGTAGATTAATTTCTTCCAACCTCCCTCTGACCCCTGAGTAATAGAGATCACATATCCATTAGGAAACATTACTTGAACTGCCAATCCCTAAATAAAGCTCAGAATTCTGAAGCTGCTTTGAGCTTTTGGTGATGTTATTGACTTGGACATTGAGCACTGGTGTTTGATTCATTTACTCCTCATTCCTGGTAAAATTGGAAATAATTAACACATACTGCATTCTTCTTTGTCCAAAAAGGTGAGTGACATAAATCAAACTGAAGAAGAAATTTAAAACTTCCCTAATCTCCTCTACATCTGAAGGCTCTGATCTCTAATTTAGCGGACTCTACAAATTCTTACCTAGCTTTTTAATTTTTTTTTAACAATTCAGAAGATAAAAAGCATCATGTATCCTAGAAGGTCTTTCTATGTAGAAAAATTGTTAACAGTTATCTTTGAGCTACCAATATAATAGCCACTGGATAAAAGGAAGCTGATACTATCATTTATCTAGATGGCACTTCGTGCCTTTTTGAGAAATTGAAGCAGACCTGCTGGTTTTGTTACCTCTTTAGATCACTGTCATTTTTTGGGCAGCAGTTGTGAGCAGCAGAAATCAAGTTGCTGGTCCTTCTGCTTTCCTGGAATTGCTATCTTATTAGCATTAGGTGTTTCACTTAGTATCATGATATTATATAAGACATTTCTGCCTTTAAAATTCATAGGCCATAGTCAAATTTTTAATATTTGATTCCTTACCTATCTGTTCTGTTTCAAAACTTCAGTTTGAATGGTAGATCACCTCAAAGGCCCCCAGCCCTGTTTGGATCTATATCTAAGAAGTCCAAGGAAGGTGGTTCTAGCTCAGGCTTGAGGAATCTTGTGGGGATGAGACTGTGAGTGGGAGCTTTTAGAAGCGGCCTGACTGCTTCAAGTTAATTTGTATTCTGCCTGCCTGCTGTAAGTGCCATAAGTAGATGTAATCGGTTGAATACTGTGAATTCTAATTACCAGAAGTTAAATTAGCAAGTAGGGGACTGCCTGTACTTAGAAATTATTTCATCAATAGCTTTGATAATTGCATTTTCCCATCACAGCAAACAAAATGTTTTAAGAAGTATCTTGCTTCAATTTCTCTTTGGTAATTTCAGAAAATGAAATGGAATTAGAAGACATTTTCCTCCCTCAGACCTGGTTATTCTGGAAATCATAATCCAGTGAATATTGAAGTTTTCCCAGTTTCTCCTCTTCTTTGGGTTCTTCTTTTTCTTCTCCGTCAGTCAATCCAGTTTCAGCATCATCATCCTTGAGAGCCTATGAGTAGGGAAATGGATCATATGTGAATTCAAGTGAATTTGCAGCAAAATCCAAATTGGGCCTGTAGTTATACCTCCAAGCTGTTCAAAGCAAGCACTAAGATGTTGGAAATCTCAGTTTGTCTGGCACACATTCACATTTGCTGCTTACATATTTTTTTAAAATTCCATTTATGCACGGAATTTTTTTTTCCCCTAATAGCAAGCAACATGGAAGCAATGGAATAAGCCCCTTAGAATAGTGCAAGCAAAAATGTAACACTGTTGCTAAGAAAATGTCAAGTTGGTATTAAATTTGATTCTGATCAAACTGCTGCTTTCAGAGTACAATGTGATAAACATGCTATTAACCAGGCCAGGTTTCACATTCATTTAAAGAGATCTTAACTAAACAAGATCATCGTCACATGCATTGGAGTAGTTTATATGAAGTGCATGGCCTTTTGTTTCCTTATTTCCTATGAAAAAGTTGAGAAGGTAATTCTCAGAAAATTTTAATACCCTAATTTTCACAAATATGTTTATAATGGTTAAGGAAAAAGAGGAAAAAACATGCCACCAGCAAATGCATATTTAGAGAAAAGTTCACCCACTTCCAGTTTAAGTTTACTGTTTTATTTTCATAACAGCTTCTCAAAAAGCTAGGCTGAATTAAATTGATGTAATGATCTGTTTGACATCAAAATGTAAAAAGGGTTGCTTATAATTTTGTCAAAAATTCCAACTGGCATAAAAATTCATTTTTATTCTGACGAACTGAATATTCTTTATCACTTAAAACTTAAGTGTAACATGGATTGAAATACTAGAAAGCTCATTATTTCAGAGAATATATTCAAATGATCCTTTTTTTAAAAAAATAAAAATGTTACACATTTTCTTACAAATGCAAAAATTTTGCTAAAAAATTGAGGGTTATAAATCTTAGAAATTTTATTTCTAGGGATGTGCACTCTTAATGCTTTAAAGAATTAGAAAATATTATAAATCATTCAAAATTAAAAATTATAAAAAGTTATATTTTTATGATCATGAATGAGATTGTATAATTTAAAAATCTTTTCCCTATTGGAACTGCCTTTTCATATCCTTTATTAATTTTTCTATTGTGTTGTTTTTCTTTTCCTTACTGATTTGTAGGAACACTTTATATTGTAGTGACCTCAGTCTTTTTTTTGTTGTTGTTGTATGTAGCAAATACTGTCTCCTTGATTTTGATTAAGGAGCTCTGGTGGCATAGTGAGTAAGACTGTGGCTTTGGCTGCTAACCAAAAGGTTGGAGGTTCAAACCCACCAGCTGGTTTGCAAGAGGAAGATGGGTCAATCTACTTCTGTAAACACTTATCACCTTGGAAACCCAATGGGGTTCCAGCTGTGAGTTGGAATCAACCTATGGCAGTGAGTTTGGTTTTTGATTACGGCATTCTCTCTCTTTTTTGGTACGTGTGTGTGTGTGATATGAGTGGTTGATAGTTTTATATCTCTGACAAAGTAAAGAAAATCTTAATTATTGTCAGTTTAAGATTAAATCTCAAGACTTGTAAAATTCAAGTGCAAGTATAAGCAGAAGGAGAAAGACATCAACATGATAAGATTCTAGCTTCTCCCACACTCCTCTGCATCACCTATACTACACGGTCTTGTCTTTCTGTTGTGTAATTTATTCTTATGACAAAGATTCTCTGTTCACTCCTCCACTTACATAGGGACCCTCAGACTGTCTTCAAAATGGCACTCTCAGTTTCTATTTGTATAAGATTTTCCAATTTGTCTCCACCCAGCTAATTCCAGTTGGGTCCAGAGACAGACATTTGGGGGCATCACACATGTACCCATATGAACAGACCATATAAAGCAATATTTAAGTTGTGGTCAGAGATGGCCCCCCTCTCTGTACTTCTCAAAATTTCTCAGGAGCCTACAATGTGTTTGGAAAATTGAAAATTGCCATTATTATATCTGTGTAAAAACTCTTTCCAATTTGGTTAGCCACACACCATTTAATTTTAAAAGTTTAATTTATACTTGGATGTTTCTGTGGATATTAAAATACCGATTTACTGATAGCCAGAGGCAGGAAACAATATAATTATTTTAAAATTTGCTTAATGGTAGAGGATTGGTTTTCACTAAAGGGAGCTTGAGCTTAGTAAAGTGAGAAGATTATCAAATTTAAATAGAGACTTTCAGGTAGTGGCATCCCATTGCCCTTTCAAAACCTTTCCCCAAAAGCCAAACCCACTGTCGGCAAGTTGCTTCAGACTCAACAGCTCTATAGGACAGGGTAGAACTGCCCCATAGGGTTTCCAAGATTGCAAATCTTTATGAAAGCAGACTGCTACATCTGGTGGCTTCATATTGTCAGTCTTTTGGTTAGCAGCAAGCTCTTAACCACTGTACCACCAAGGCTCCTTACCTGTGTTTAAGTCTTCAATATTGTCATAGAAGATCTGCTTAGAAAATTGCAGCTTAGGTAAATTATCTCCCAATAATATTTTAACTTTCTTAATAATAGCAAACTATTTAATACACATTTAATACACATTTCCATTTAAAAACTGTACATCACTCTATCATAATACTAAACTCATGGATTAAATACTTTTTCCAAAGTCTCGTTCAGAACTGACAATTTACATATCATGTTTCAGCCCAGTGGAATTTGAAATAGCTGAGATATTAAATCTCCTTCTCCCTAAGTGGTTTTTACCCTAATAAAAGGTGCAGGACTATCTCTGCAATTATTCTGCATGAAATAGGGCTAAATTTTTCATAATTTCTTAGTGCCACTGTTCATCACTGAAGTGATTAAGTCTATTTCTGTCCCAAAGGCTGAGCTTAAGCAAGACATTTTCTGTACCATCACGTCAAATTCAGATCTATTAAATCAGTAGCTATTCTCAAGGGCAATATTTTTCTCCCCATGGAACCAAATATGAAAGAGAAGGCTTGTAAACCCAGTACTTTTGAGAGTCTGATAAATTGCAGCATGAAAAGCTGTGTTGGGAACATCAAAACTTATTTTAAATTTCAAAGTTTTTAGTGTACATGCCTATGACCTGCTTGAACATTCAAACAGTACGTAGTTCCAAGCCACCAGAAGGAGCATTTGTGCACTCTAAGTTGCTCTGATGTGCATTTGATAAAGTACGCTAAAAAGAGAGCTGGGGGGGGGGGGGGGGACGGACTGAATGGCCTTTCTTTGCCCATCAGTTTAAAACTTGAGCTTTCTAATACTTCTCTATTTATTATATGTTGTAATGTTTAAAATGAGAACACTCTATCATAAAAAATCAATTTAGTTCAGCCTCTTGATGTGTGTCAGAATGGTCCACCCTCAGCTGTGGAGCCCCAGCTGGCAGGCCACTAAATGGATCCTAGCATTGACTAGGGGTATCTAAGTAGCAGAGGAAACCTACCGCAAGGGACAGTCCAGAACAGTCATGAGACACAACACAGATAAGGAGGACATAGAAGGAAGAAATAAAAAAGTATCCACAGACATTAGTGAGAACCATGGAGAAATGACCTTTCCAGAGCTATAACTCAACAAGCTGGTATTTTTCCCTCTGTATTTTTCATGTTCTCAAATTTTAAGGCATAGAAATAAACAAATATATATCTTAGGTGTAGATACAGAAATAAAATATCTATAGTTATTTTTAGTTGACATTGCAGAATAGTTTAAAATTCTTCCATGATTTTAAAATCTTACTATTAGACATATGACCATGACATTGAAATTTGCATTTCCATGAGTTCTTATAGTCTTGAAATGGTAATTTATTGATTACCCTAGTGCCTGTTTTAAGAAATCATATCTAAAATGCCTCTCACGTCTGTGCTTTTTCAAAATGAGAGGAATAGAAGATATTGGCTTTCCCACATCCATATCAATAATGGACTTAAAATGTTTTAAAATATAATTACATAAAAAAATTCTAAATCATGTTTATGCTGTTTTTAATTTAGATGATCATGTGACATAATAAAATCTGCATATTCTATTTTGAATCTTCATCCTTCTTCATAAAATGATGGAAACCATTTTTAGCTTTTTTTAATATACCTTGAAAAGTAGCATATACTGCTATTATATAAATGTTTACCAGTTGGGTCTAGGTAATTTGCCTAAATGGGATTTCATTATGTGCATTTAATTGTTTATAAAACATAACTAAAATTTTATATAGACCAAATGATCTATTTAAAATGATTGTAAACACTTTTTGAGTGGGTGAAATCATAAATGCTTTGTATAACAGTCAATGGTTACTATAAACTGTCAGATTTGTTAGTTTTTCTTTATGAAACTGATTATTCTCTGTACCTTTCCCCCATCTAAAGGAATGGGTAAGCAATGAAAAAATTACCACCCCCAATTCTATGTATATATTACTTTTTTAGGTCTTGGTCATTTATCCAGGTAATAACAGGGATAATAAACACCATTGCTATGCTATAAATTACAGTTTCACATCATACAGAACAAATTCCACAAATAAAAATATAAGTATTTAAATTTCTTATCCTAGGAAGAAATGCTATAGTTATCATCTAACATTATTCAGGCTTTTAATTCTTATTCCTAGGACATGGGAAACCAAATTTGAATTTCACTGCAGTCATGAAGATGATAGTATTGTATGTTCAAATTATTGTCTTCACAGATGCAGCTGAAATTAACATATATATTATCCTGTTCGCATAGGAGATTATTTCCATATTTATCTCTCAATAAGTTGCTTAAAGAAATCTGTACCAAGTCTTGCTGGCTGTGGAAAATGCTAGAATAAAGCAAGACATGATTTAAAATTTCAGTGACTACTTCACAATTTTAACTGAAGAGAAAAATCCTTATTAGACATCTGTAGTTGAATGTTTGCACAGACTCCTGTAGTTGTAATTAAAAATTGTTAGAAAAACAACACTTGTTACCCTGGGCTCAGGATAAAACTCTCTTGAGAGTGAGTGATGGCATTATAACTATTATCTAATTTACACACCAGCCACCAAAACCAAAGATCAGGAAATTGAAGATTTTTACCAAACTCTACAGTCTCAAATTGACCAAACATTCAATTAAGATGTGTTGACTATCACTGGTGATTGGAATGCAAAAGTTGGAAAAAAGGAGAATCACCAGTAATTGGGAAATAAGGCCTTGGTGATAGAAATGACGTTGAAGATCACATGATAGAATTTTGCAAGACCAATGACTTGTTCATTGCAAATACCTTTTTTCAACAATGTAAATGATGGCTATACATGTGGACTTTGACAGATGGAATACACAGGAATCATATTGTCTACATGTATGGGAAGATGGAGAAGCTCAGTATCTTTAGCTGATAAAAACAAGGTGAGGAGCTGACTGTGGAACAGACCATCAATTGCTCATGTGCAAATTGAAATTGAAGACAATTACAACAAGTCCACAGCCAAAATATGACCTTGATTATATCCATCCTGAATTTAGAGACCATCTAAAGAATAGATTTGATGCATTGAACACCAATGACTGAAAACCAGAGGAATTGTGGGATGACATCAAGAACATCATCTATAAAGAAAGCAAAAGGTCATTAAAAAGACAAGAAAGGAAGAAAAGACCAAAATGGATGTCAGAAGAGACAATGATATTTGTTCTTGAAAGGAGAGTAGCTAAAGCAGATGGAAGAAAAGTCAACATAAAATAGCTGACGAGACGATTTCAAAGAGCAGCTTGAGAAGACAAAGTCATTTATAGTGAAATGTGTAAAGTCCTGGAGTTAGAAAGCCAAAAAGAAAGAACATGCTTGCCATTTCTCAAGCTGAAAGAACTGAAGAAAAACTTCAAGCCTCGAGTTGCAATATTGAAAGATTCCATGGGCAACATATTGAATGATGCAGGAAACGTCAAAAGAAGATGGAAGAAATACACAGAGTTACTGTACCAAAAAGAATTGGCTGATGCTCATCCATTTCAGGAGGTAGCATATAATCAAGAACCAATGGTATTGAAGGAAGAAGTCAAAGCTACACTGAAGGAATTGGCAAAAAACAAGGCTCCAGGGATTAACTGAATACCCACTGAGATGTTCCAACAAATGAATGCTACACTGGAGGTACTTACTGATCTATGCCAAGAAATTTGGAAAGCAGCTACCTGGCCAGCTGAATGGAAGAGATTCATATTTGCACCCACTCCAAAGAAAGGTGATCCCACAGAATGTGGAAATTATCAAACAATATCATTAATATCACACACAAATAAAATCTTGCTGAAGACAATTCAAAAATGGTTGGAGCAGTATATTTACAGGGAACTTCCAGAAATGCAAGCTGCATTCAGAAGAGGATGTGGAACAAGGGCTATCATTGCTGATGTCAGATGGATCTTGGCTGAACGCAAAGAATACCAGAAAGATGTTTACTTGTGTTTTATTGACTATACAAAAGCATTTTATTGTGTGGATCATAACAAATTATGGCTAACATTGACAAGAATGGGAATTCCAGAACATTTAATTGTGCACATGGACCAGAAGGCTGACATTTGAACAGAACAAAGAGATATTGCACAGTTTAAAATCAGGAAGGGAGTGTGTCAGGGTTATATCCTCTGACCATATTTACTCACTCTGTATGCTGAGCAAATGATCTGGGAAGTTGGACTGTATGAAGAAGAATGTGGCATCAGGATTGGAAGAAGACTCATTAACAACATGTGATATGCAGACAACACAACTCTGCTTGCTCAAACTGAAGGTGACTTGAAGCACTTACTGATGAAGATTAAAGACTAAGTCTGCAGTATGGATTGCACCTCAACATAAAACAGAAGTCCTCACAACTGGGCCAATAAGCAGCATTACAATGAATAGAGAAAAGACAGAAGTTGTCAAAGATTTCATATTACTTGGTTCCACCATCAACACCAATGGAAGCAGCAGTCAAGAGATCAGATGATGCATTGCACTGGGCAAATCTGCTGCAAAAGACCTCTTTAAAGGCTGAAGAGCAAAGATGTCACTTTGAAGAATAAGGTGCACCTATCCCATGGTGTTTTCAATTGTCTCATATGCATGTGACAGCTGGACAGTGTATAAGGAAGACCAAGAAAGAGTTGATGCTTTTGAATTGTGGAGTTGGTGAAGAATATTGGAAGTATCATTCAGAAGAATGAACAGGTTTGTCCCAGAAGAAGTGCAGCCAGAATGCTCCTTGGAATTGAGAATGGCCAGATTTCATGTCACCTACTTTGGTCATGTTGTCAGAAGGGACCAGTCCCTGGAAAAGGATACCTTGCTTGGTAAAGTGGACAGTTAGTGAGAAAGGGGAAGACCCTCAGCAAGAAAGATTGACACAGTAGCTGCAACGATGGACTTGGGTATGGCAAGCATCATGAGGCTGGCGCAGGATAGGGCAGTGTTTTGTTCTGCTGTGCACAGGGTTGCTATGAGTCGGAGCCAACTCGACAGCACATAACAACAACCCTGGCCTGAGAATAAAACTCTCTTAAGAGTGAGTGAAGTCATTAAACCATTCTCTAGTTTTGAAACAAAATAAAAGGGCATGAAGTGAAAAATGAGCCTTTGTGAAATTGTTATCAATAGACCCTATAGTATCTTTGAGAAAAGAGTTTAAAATTAAAGTTGAGAAGACAGGATTAGTGTTATGTGTGTTGTTAACTAGGAAACTATGCAAATGTACTAAAAACACTTGTTACCACACATGATTAAATTATTCATAAAATTAAGTAGGCTGATACACATATTTAAGGATTCCATTAATAGCAATTAGTACTATAAGGGGAATTAAAAACTGCCTACATGTGTTATTATTGGGGAATAAACAACTTTTGAATTATTGCATGGGAAACTTTGATAATTGAAAATGCTATTTTCTATATAAATATTTATGTTTAATTTCATATGAAATAAATGTTCCTTAGAAATATTCAGTGTAGGTGTAATTATAAAAAGTAAGTGAAGAGGCATTTAACCATTATCATTATTAATAGTAAACACGATCCTGAATCAAATCATCCAATTAATTTAGTAAAAATTAACAACATCATAAACAAAAACCAAATAACTTCCTTAAACTTTGGAAGACAACCCAGCCAGATAGATTTTGTAACCAGTGTTCTGGTACTAATTGTCCCCAAGCATGGAGATAATAACTTTCTGTTAAAATTCTGCCCTGCTCTTTAAGACCAATTCACACTTTTCTTCCTTCCCGTGTGCAATTCATTGTTCTTGAGACCTAATTATTGAGTTGGATATAGAGCAATGGTAGCTTTCATCAAGTGTGGTGAACAGCTATATGATTCAGTCATTTAATAATGATTGCAAACAGTAACAAATTAGAAAGATCTCCTGTCCAAGAGGAAGAACACTTAGGTACTCTTTGTTCTATTTTTTTTTTTTTTCTCTAAACACAACTAATACTGGCCAAACAGATGTAATAAGTGTATTCAGCACCATTCTACTATGCTGGACCCATCAATATGGCCCTAGTGATCATGGATACCTCTTTTTGGTCTATATGCTCAGGAGACAGGATTGTTACCACTGGATTCTGGGAGACGGAACAATGACTAAAAGGATGCAAAGCATCTATTTGACAATGAATTGTATTAAGAAGTTGTTTGTTTCTATGAGTATCTGGCATAAAATAATAAAATATTTATTTACTTGTTTGTAACAAAATAAGAGGAAATATGAAATGAATACATTACCTGATCTTTCATGGTCTTCCCTAAGTCTTTCACATCTTTCATGTTAATGGCATTCTTCCCTCCCTTTTCCTTTCCCTTCTTCTTGTTTTTCTTTTTGAATAAACATTTCTTACAGATACAAAAGCAGCAAGTCAGGACTAAAAGAACTGCGACTATGGCTATCGCAATTAAGGCCCATGGTGGCACTGAAAGAAAAAAAAATTCACATAGAACTTTAGCAGTAAAATATTTAAACGCAGAAAACCTTTTAGCAGTAAAGATATTCATCCATCCTTATTTATTGAGCACATATTAGGCTCTAGGCAAATGGGGTAACATCACTTTATCGGTATTGTTTTCTGACTGTATGGTGGTTTCTGTACTGTTCATTTTCCCTTCCATGTATCTCAAATGCTGCCACCTTCCTCTTCTTTTCCTTGATTCTCCAAGCTAGAGTTCCACCTTTCAGATCATGGTTCTGGAATGTGATCTTTAAATTTAAATCATGGCTCCATCATTTACTAGCTGTGTGAATTAGGCAAGTCATCCAACTTCTCTTTGTTTCCTCATCTATAAAGTGGAGGTAAATTTCTAGGTGCCTCATTGAGTCTTTGGAATAATTAAATAATAAGATGCAGTGCCTAGCATAGGATAAAAGCTTAATGCATGTTAGTGGCTATTATATACATCTGTCAAATACTAGGTGTTCTATTAACATGCTCTGATCAGTGTGAGGGAGCAGAAATTAACCAAGCACAGCAAATATAAAATCATAAACGGTAGGAAGTACTTGGTACTTGAAGTCAATCACAGTGAGACTGAACCACTCAGAGTCTCCGAAGCAGGACAGAAGTTAAATGTTCAGGCTCTGGAACCAGGCTTGCAATCAGGTCTTGGCTTGGCTCTGTTCACATCATGTGTATGACTTCTAAGTTTCACACATACATTTTGTGTAAGAGTTAAGATTGCTTAACTCTTCAGAATTTCTGTTTCCTCTTCTATAAAGTCAATGTAATAGCAGTGACCATTTCTTCAAGTTGTGAAGATTAAAAGAGTTAATATACTAAAAAGCTTACCCCTGTCCAACACACATTGCCCAGTTATGGCAGTGGTGGTTCAGGGGTAGAACTCTTGCCTTCCTTGCAGGGGACTTGGGCTTCATTCCTGGCCAGCGCACCTCACGTGCAACACCACCTGTCATTCTGTAAAGGCTTAGGTGTTGCTAAACTGCTGAATGGATTACAGTGTTGATTTCAGACGAGAAAAGGCCTAGCAATCTACTTCCAAAGATGAGCCAGTGAAAACCTTATGGATCACAACAGTTTGATCCCCACAAATTGTGGGGATGGCAGAGGACATGGCAACATCTCACTCCATCATTTACAGGCTCTCCATGTGTCAGGGCCAACTTGACAACAGCCAACAATATTACTTCTATAGCCTAAGGTGTAGGCCTGAGTACTGTGGGTAACACAGAGGTATACGGGTATATAATGAGAAATACAACTTGCCCATCAATATCAAAAGAAAGAGATCAATGTACTGAAAGGCATTCAGTCGAAGAGAACTGACAGAAATCTATGGATGGTGGGGGGAAGGCTTCAGATTTATAGGCCCTGTTTTATTTAATAAAGTAAATAAAAAGAATATACTCAAACATTTAGTTTTCTAGTACAGTAATTCTCCTCGGAAGGAAGGTTGGGCAATCTACTTCCATAGTGATACTGCCTCAGAAACCCAAGGAGGGGTCACTATGAGTTGGGTCTGACTCGACGGCATATAACAACAACAACAACAGTACAGTAATTCATCTGCTAAAAGTTATTTTTTCTTATCTGGCATCTCCTGCACCATGTACTTAGGAAAAACAAGGTCTCATTGTGGAAACATTAGGATTTCACTGTAACTGGAAAAGAATTATTCATGATACAAATCATAGCTATTGAGATTAATCAGAAGAAGTAATTAGATTTGTCTGTTATAATAAAAAAATACCTTGGGCACTAAAATGATAAGAAAAAGTGCTTATTTTCTTCTAGCCACATAAACATCATTAGTAACAGTGATTGTGGAACATTGAATCAGTAGTACTTTGATAAAATAAAGACACTTAAAAATTAACCTCTCTTCAAATCAAGAAAACCTCACTCACTTTGGTACCCCTCAGCATTTAGCTTCATAATATAGCATATTCACTATGCATATAATTCCAGGTTATGATTGGAGACCAACTGTTGACCTTCAGGCCATATGAAACTACAACTACACTGTTTTCAGCCAGAGGGTTAAGTGTGAAAGTTGTAGATAAGCTCACATTCAAAGGCATGTTTTCTTATAGTTCTTTAATTTCATTAATCAAGTATTATTTTTTAAAAAGCATAAATTAGAGAAGCCCAGTGATGCAGTAGTTAAAGTGCTCAGCTGCCAACAGAAATGTCGGTGTTGAAGGTGGGTGGTTGGAACCCTCCAGTGGCACCTCAGGGGAAAAGATTAGGCAGTCCGCTCCTATAAAGATTAACCATTGCCCCTGAGCCAATTTTGACTCATAGTGATCCAATAGGACAGAAGAAAACTGCCCTATAGCATTTCCAAGGCTGTCAATCTTTACAGAAGCAGACTGCCATATCTTTCTTCTGCAGAGAGGCTTGTGGGTTCAAACCAATGGTAAGCAGCCAAGTGCTTAACCACCAGACCACCAGAGTTCCTCCTTGTGAAGATTACAGCCTTAGAAACGGTATAGGATAGTTCTATTTTGTTCTATAGGGTCATGATGAGTCAAAATCAACTCAGGACACAAGACAATAACATAACAAAATAAGCTTTTGTTATTATCCTTACAATACTGAATTTTAAACCTTCTACTTATGTTTATTTGGTCTTGGACTTCTGTTAATCTAGTTAAAATCCTGGCATGTGTGACCAAGAGAGTCTATGTGTTTATTGCAGGCAAGACAGCATTAATGATGGCCCTTCATTTTTAAACTTGTAAATTATTCTCCTGGTTGGACTTTTGTGATAGTCTCTCAGAAAGCTACATAAAAGTCTTAAATTACTAAGGACAGGGGAGATGATTTTGACAAGTTTACAAAAGGAAAATAGACAGTGAAAAAGCCCAGGAACATTATTCATCAAAAGGAGTTAGAGAGATAGTAACATGGGATTACAGGAAGAAACTTGAAATAGTGCAACTTGGTGGCTAAAGAAAACCACTGGAATTTGTGGCTTTTATTTTTTTTAAGTGCTTCTGCTGTTGTCTAGATTTACTTTCAGTACATCTTCTGGATAGCTCAATTTTAATTTCAAATATGCTATGTTGAATATATTAAATTATTAGGATTTTTCTCACAATTGACTGGAAATGATCAGTTCTTCAGATGGAATAAAAAAACATTTAATTATTGTGGAATAATTACTTGAAAACTTAGATTTTATTATCTCCAAATGCCCTTTATATTGACAGTTTAAATAATGTTGTACCAGGTCATAACTGAAGTCCCTGGATGATGCAAATGGTTAATGCACTTGGATGTCAACCTAAAGTTTGGAGGTTTGAGTCCACCTAGAGGCATCTCAGAAGAAAAGCCTGCTGAGGTACTTC